CCTGCCCCGCAGTTCTTGCTCCATGGATCTTGCCCCGCATTTCTCGCTCTGCGGATGTCACGTGTGTATAGGGAAGGGGTGTAATCATTCATGTTGCCTCTACGTCTTACATTTGGCAGAGTGGAGTTCAGCCACCACAGTGAATTTTGTTTTTTCTAGACTGTTTTGTTAAGTTAAGAGAAGTGTTGCTATGGCTGAGAAAGTAGGGTAAACCAGTTTGTGCAAGGAAGGTTTAAGAAAGAATAGGTCGATAGAATCCTTTTGCTAACAGGTTTTTTTTTCCAGCAAGCAGACTGCGATCATCCATGAAGCTGTTTAAAATCAAACAGTAAAAAAGAGTGGGAAGTGGCCCTGTTGATGCTGACAACAAATTTGGTTCACGTGCTGGTTCTGGCGCTAATGCCTTTTACACACAAATTGTGCGCGTGACGTATTCACGTCGGTACTCTATAAAGCGCGGATACTCCCACCAAGATTTAACCCTCCTTCCTCATAAAGGTGAGACTCACGTGAACTCAAGCAGGCATACTAACAAGACAAAAAAGACTCTGCTTGTCTTTGTTTTGCCTTATTACCCACGAGTGCTGGCCCTTCTTAAAAACTAGGATTTGATCGACCAAAATGAATGTCTCAATGTGCTCTTCCTAACCCCTCAATGCATATAAAAGACATAAGAGTATAAAGCACGACCTAGTATGGTGAAGGATTTATCGCTCTCTACTATCCAACTAAGAAGAAAAAGAACTGGATGTAGAGAACATTCAAATCCTAATGGAACTCCTTGACGAACAAAATTAAGAAGTGTGAAACCTCCAAAAAACGACAACTGATATCCACCTATTCCGATCATGGTGAGATCCGCTGGGCGAGGTCCGCGAAGTGCGTAGCAGATATAGAACAATTAAACCTATATATAATGTGATGTGGTTTTTCTGCTGTTGCATGTTTCATGCTGTTTCCATGATGTCTTTTAAAGCTTATGTCTTTTTTAGTTTGGCAATTTTTCATATGGATTCTAAAATTAGGGCATAGTTGATGGTAAAAATGGTTCTAAAGGGTTTCAGGTTACTGGTGGTTGCTCAAGTCAAAGGTAAAACCCGGGGTTTGTCAAAAGTGCATAGGCAGTGAAGCCTGTGGAAATGGAGATGTTGTAGGCCAGCAGAGCAAACCTTGATTTAGATTTGTGATAAGACCTTCGCAATGATATTCTTTGCAAAGCCCACAGAACTGGGTACTGCAAACCCAGTCCACACATTATCGTGGTCCTGCTTCCAACCCAGGAAAGCCCACAGAACTGGGTACTGCAAAGCCAGTCCACGCATATTCATGGTCCTGCTTCCAACCCAGGAAAGCCCACAGAACTGGGTACTGCAAACCCAGTCTCCACACATTATCCTGGTGCTGCTTCCAACCCAGGAAAGCCCACAGAACTGGGTACTGCAAACCCAGTCCACACATTATCCTTGTCCTGCTTGGAACCCAGGTCAGAAGAATGGAACATGCATCAACCAGACATGGGTTTTCAATAATCATGTCTATGATTGTTTCAACTCAGTGCTTTTCCCAATGATTAATAAATTATTTTGTCTACCATCAATTCTCAATATAATGAACACTTCTATAACAGAACACTCTGACTTATAAACTGCAAAATCTGAGATTTGTATTTTCTTTCTTGTTTTTCTTTGTTTTTCCACTCCTTTTATAACAAAGTCCTGGTTATAACAAAGTAATTTATGTGGTCCCTGTAACTTTGTTATAACGAGACTTGACTGGATTTGAAATGTCTTTCTGGCCTTCTCTGTTGTACATTTTACATACATGTACATGGACATGTACAATGTATGTGCGCCATGCTTGCACAGAGTGAAACACAGTAAATGATGCCACACTAAGCAATCAAAATCATATCTCTGGCACTAGTTGAACACAAAAATTCAACTTACATATTTTGTCAGCATTGTCAACTTGATTTCCTGGCATATTTCCAATCCCAAGTTCCACTACTATATATCCCAAAGTGAAAAAGAAACACCAATTGACTGAAGAGATCGGCCTCTGAAATCTACAGTCCAGTACACAAATCTGATACTGAGAAATCAGACGTCATGATTTTTATGAGGAGACAATTCTAGTCTACCTTAACAGTGTACTCAAATCATAACAGCAGATCTGGGTGTGCAAACATGAGGGACTATTGAAGTGGAAATCCAGGCTAAAAAGGGGCTGTCCCTTTGGAACTACCGAAAGCTAGACGAACCTTGGACTTCAGTATATCACATACCCCTGAATTACTTTAAACCTCCAATGCATTGCCTCCAACCCTGGTCAATTCATGAGGTTTATTGACATGTGGCTTCTTTTAATGTACATGTACAATAGGCCAACATCCAATAGTGAATATATTAACAGAGCAACTGGCACAATGGAGGTATGAAATGCATTGATGTGGTTTCATAAAATTGGTATCATGAAGCTACGATTATGGACACAAAATCCTAAATGCTTGGGAAGTGCACCAGACATGTCTACAATGACACTTAAAAGCCTCAGATTTTGAACCTGTGATAACAGTCAGTCCAATTTGTTCTTCACCAGAGACAAAGTTTGCAACCTGGGAAATGTTTCCTTTGCTTTGAGGACATACCGATCTAGAGAGACTACTTATGTGTCTTATTATTTTTCTTTTTAATAAGACGAGTCTTCCGTGAATCAGTTTCAACAAACAGACCATTGTGTATCATATAATATTGAACAGTAAAATGTGTACACTCTATGCATAAACATTATTTGTTACAGTACCCAAAAGGACTTTTCAAAAACTGTTGGTCTATAATAATTTCAGCTGGAGATTAAAAAAAATAACTTAAAACACACCAAAGATAGGGTCTTGCAATTGGTTGAAGAGTTGATCATGTAAAGAATGAAGTCTTTGGAGAGGTGCTGGACAGATTTTGAAGGTGAATTTAAAAATCTGGCAAAGAGGGTAAATAAGAAAAATTGTACTCTAGGTTAGGCAATATTGACGTTTGAAAAGCAAGGTGAATGTAGGTCTTCCTTGTGTTTAGCTGTAGGAGAAAATGTGATGGGATATACTCTTTGCCACTGGAGTGTTTCTCCTTATCAAATACCTTAACAAATTGAGAGGAATCTAATGTAGAGATCCTTCCTCTGGTCTAATTTTAGGTAACTACATCTGTTTTGACTGGGCTGAAGTTCTGTAGTTTTATCAGCTAGTCTACCAATAGGCCAGCCAGCCAAATGCAGAGGACCAATGGTCAGTGAGGGCCAACCAGCCAACCAGCCAATGCAGAGGGCCAATGGCCAGTGAGGGCCAGCCAGCCAATGCAGAGGACCAATGGCCAGTGAGGGCCAACCAGCCAGCCAGCCAATGCAGAGGACCAATGGCCAGTGAGGGCCAGCCAGCCAATGCAGAGGACCAATGGCCAGTGAGGGCCAGCCAGTAAGCCAATGCAGAGGACCNAGAGGACCAATGGCCAGTGAGGGCCAACCAGCCAGCCAGCCAATGCAGAGGACCAATGGTCAGTGAGGGCCAACCAGCCAACCAGCCAATGCAGAGGGCCAATGGCCAGTGAGGGCCAACCAGCCAGCCAGCCAATGCAGAGGACCAATGGCCAGTGAGGGCCAACCAGCCAGCCAGCCAATGCAGAGGGCCAATGGCCAGTGAGGGCCAGCCGGCCGGCCAGCCAGCCAGCTGAAGGCAGTCAAGGCCAGTCATCTTCTCAGCAATTGACAAGCTGGCACCTGGTGAGCCAGCTGGCCAGCCTTGCAGTGAAATGGGGGAAGTCAGTCAGTCACCTGGCATTTCGTCCAAATTACCTTACTGCTCATCAGGCAACTTGAGCAACCTTTTCTTCGGTTCATGCTTCGATAAACACTTTTTTCAGCAGACGATTGCAAAATACGCAAGCGCATTGACAAATATTTCTTGCTTACAGTAGCAAGAATTTTCTTCGGCCGTGAAAAAGGATCGCGTAAGCAAAGAATTTTCTGCTACCGCAAGCGCCAACGTTTCGCTTACGGTAAGCAGCAGCGTGAAATTGGCCCCTGATGTTTCATTGGGTTTACATGGAGGCCTTTTGGTTTTGTTTCACTTGAAATGCGATACACGATGGTAGCCGTATGTCACTTCATTTGCCGTTATGCATTGTGTGTTTCAGAGGAGCACAATGACTTCCTTGTTGATGAACCAAAACACTGAACTGTAGATGGACATCCGGTAATCGGCAGAGTCTAACAGCTTTTTATTAGAATCCAACCTATTCTCATGATTTGTGTCATCGGAGATTTTTTTTTCACTCATTCAGGATCCATAGCTAGTGCGGAAGGGCATAAAACTCTTTGAGCTGTTTTGTTATGGACTCATCACCCATCAAGAGCGCCCTCACTTGTTAAAGCTGTAGCGTGTGGATTACAAAAAGCAAAGGCAAAATTTATTGGAAACTTTCTCATGAAAAGAAGCAAAATGCAAAGATGTGTTTTCAGTGATTGAATTTGTCTTGTAAGCACATTTTGTTTCCAGGTTTGTTGGTGTCTTTGTATTAGTTCAGAAGACCCAAGCTATGGAAAGTCTGAAACCAGTCATAGGAAAGTTGCTAAAGTTATTTACATTATTTCAACAGAATGAACTGGCTCGGTATTTCCAAAAGCCAAGGTCTTTCAGGAACACAGCGCAGGCGAGTCAGCGTATGGCTTTCCCGTTAGGACAGACCATCACTTGTGCATGTAGCTGTTCCTGGAAATTTGGGGGAAAATGTAATCTCTGGGGTTTTGGACACAAAACCAAATGCACAGTAAAAAGTTTTTTAAGCACAGAAGGCAAAGCAACTTTATTAGTATGAAAATATACACAAAAAATGTTAAATTTTACCAATTTACCTAGTATACATGCATGTTGATGACATGTATGCACTTGTACAATTATGCTTATGTGAAACAAAAACGTCTTAGAATTTACAAACCATAAAAGAGTGATTCAGGTTGGGGTTACAATTGATTTGACAAGTTTGCTTTTCCTCAATTTGCAATGAAATGTTCCCCTGATTTTGAAACGTGATGCAACATAAAAGAAGTTGCTACAGCCAATTTTGAGTTCAAGGCCTTTCAAAAAATGTTGTGCAATCAACTGAAACCCTTAACATTTTACATGCATACAGACTTATTCGGCATTCAGCATTAGCCGTTACTGTGTTAACTCTTTGTTCAATTTTGAACGTTTGGAGAAAAACTTGATTCTAAGAAAAATACATTGCATTGCTCCTTTAATAAAGCCTGTACTACCCACTTCTGTTTGCACAAAGTTTTGATAGTTTCATGTGAGGACAATTTAGTGTGGTGAATCAATACAGCAAACTTTGGACATTTAGATATTCATGTATCCCACATGTACATGTCCCGTTTTCATTTCACAATATTTCATAATGATGGAAAAATTACACATTTCTAAAATGTACTTAAACATGTATTGGTTTGGGAAATAAACTTTTTGAATTTACCACACATTTGAAGTAATGTATTGTTTCATCAGCTTCATGTTTGGTCATCAAGACAAAATTAGAGCACACTTTTAGGTTTTTGTTTTAGTAATGTATGCACATGTATGCAACATTAGGCATAACTATTTCAAATTATGTTCCCTAATCGAGAAGTATTTTGCTTATGCATCAAAAACTTGCCTTTTATTCACAATAAACTATTTGCACCAAACACAGCAAGGTTACTCTTTAAATAATAACTAAAAACCAAAAGCAAAAACACTGCCTCTGACTAATGTCTCACATGGATTGAGAAGAGGAAAGACGAATGCCCTGCTCAACCCAGGTCTAAACTGCTGACTTTGCTTTCCTCCATAATCACAAATACAACAAAATTTAATATTACACAAATCAAACCGAGCTCATGAAACATATCCAGCCAATTTGCCAAGTCCTTTTGCAGTTACCAATGGGAAAATCAAGTCTATATTTTTAACCACAGTGACCTTTGGCTTCTTGGGGACCCTAAACCAACCCACATACCAAATTCATTGGAAATTGATATGCTTCCTATGCCAGAAGTTATGGTGGCAAACGGTTTGGTGTGTTTTACAGTGATGGATGTAACGGACCTGTGGGGTCCAACAAACATTCCACTTCTAGGGGACCCTAAGGCCGACCATAGACCAATCATGGCAACCTAATATGCCAAGTGGAAGGACAAGGCAAAATCTTGTACCTCTTTCCGTTTTGCCGGGGAAGGAGGGGGATAAAGTTAATACACATAAAGTGAGTTGATCTAAAAAACAAGGGAAAAAAAGCTTGAAATCAAGCAAGTGATGGACTTACAAGGCTGTATGTTATTACACTAACAAGAAGAAAAGAACGGTGCAATGGTACTGACCAAGCACCTCAGTAATGTTTGTATATCATTCCCTACACAGTATCTTCCACACAAAATAATCAGTAAAGTAACAACCCATTAATAACGCTGAGACTGTTGGACATTTGGTGCACACTGTGGTTTATACTTTTACCTTATGTTTATTTCAAATTAATCACCTTTATGATATATCCTTGCCTTTACCCCTAATAATAATTTGAAGTTTGTTTCAGCACATCCAGCAATGAAAGGGATTCCACAGTGCTGCCAATTTACACAGCTTAGCTAATCTAGACTTGGCGGGTAAAAGTTATGTAAGTAACTTTGTAAGTGCTCAATATGGCTACCTTTTCCTGCCTGTGAGTTCTTGTTTCAGAGCTCATGGAATAACAGTCCTAGTATGGTAGTATCATGAACCAGGCCACAATAAGCGACCAGCTGAACTCGCGAGACTAGTCCTTTAGCTATCTTTCTTGTCTATCTCCTCAACAGTCTTCTGCAATCAAACATAGAAGAAAAAGAGAGAAAAAAAGTTAAGTTCTGTATTTTATAACCACTTGCTGACAAGCCAGAGACCAAATTTCCAAAAATGGATCATACAAACACTAACTTTGGACATTCTTGACATCACTGATGCGTTATTTTTCACCACAACCTTGTGATTTGAGACACTGGCCCTGCTGTAAACCGATATTTGCTATGATGGAGGAACAGTCGCACCGCTATTGGAAGCTAAAGGCCTTTACACAATCGACAAATCCCAAGGCTGGTGCAGGGTTGAAAACTGGTGATGACTCACTTAAAATAGTCAACCCTGCACCAACTATGTCAACCCTGAAAGTGAATTCAACCTGGGTTGAACTCATCCCTGCTCTGGACCAGGGTTGAAATTTTTTCAACCCTGGTTGAAAATTGTTTGAGCTTCTCTCTGGGTTAAACTCACCCCAATAAGCTTGGTTTGCTTGAAACAACCGTGGTGTGAAACAATGTTGAGCACAGGGTTGAAAAATCAAATTTCAATCCAGGGCAGTCATGGGTTCCCCAAGGATTGAGTTCAAACCTGGGTTTAGAGGGTACTGTGAAAAGACCTCAAGAGGAAAGCTGTCCTTTCAACAAATCAGCCATCCCGGTCAATATAGATTGTCTAATCACAATCACACAGCTTCAAGTACAAACAGTAACAAATCCACACCACAAATTTTTCTTTGACACACTCTTTGTGTAATTTACTACTTTTCTTCACCATTTAAAAAAGATTTGACATCCCGTTGGAGTGAAACGAAAAGTGCCTTTTTTAAAACGTTTCAAATTACCCATGTGTTTAAAGTATCCCTATCAAAATGACTTCACAAGTCAACACTATGATCCATGTGATATCATTCCCTAACCAAACCCCAAAGTGTGTAGAGCACCTGCCTGTCAGAACTGGACAACTTGACACCCGTGGCATGCACATAGGGCACTCCTGTCAACAACTTCATTATCAATGCATGGTTAGGTAATCCAACCATAAGCAAGTTTGATCAACGACTGTGGTTGACCACAGCTTGTTTAAATAGGACCAAATGCCTGTCAGTCAACAATGGGTGGACTGTACTTGAGAATTTGGGGTTTACACCTTGACTTTTATATCACTGGTTACCAAATAGTAGCATATCAAAATATAAAGCAGGGAGCCAGTGCTGTGGGATATGACAATAATACCTGACTGTTACTTTAGAAGGAGCCATGGCGCACACATACAGTACATCATGAACTACCCATAATCTACCAAACATTCTTGATCAAACGGCCACATACATGATGCACCATTCCTGAACCAGGCTCCGGTACTTTGATGTCCAGCAACTCTTCTCATCCCTTATCATACTTCACAGTGATCCAAAATCCAAAAGGTTTTGTCTTCACTTGTTATTTTGAGGCAATGACAGTTATGGAATCAGCATTGTTCTTGTGGATATTGGTATCAGTTTTGGATAATAGCTTAGAATTCTTCAGCCTGGTCGTACACCAATGGGAACCCAGACACAGTTGCATCTAGCATCCTCCTACCTGCAGATTGGCATGTTCCTTGAGGAGACGATCATATTCCATATTCACTCCTTCAGCTTGTTTCTTGATGGATGTCAAGTCGGTCTTAGCCTGCTGTAATTCCTTCTTGGCTGCCTCTAGCTCCTCTTTGTATTTCTTCACCTCTTCGTTGGCCTTGTTCTCTGGGATTTCATCTACTGATGTACCATCCCCCTGAGGAATTCAAGTAAAAAAGCTCTCATAATATAAACATGGGCAAGTATACATCGTTGTGTGCCTGGCAGAAGGGCATAAGGGCTTAGGCCCTTTTGCCGGGAAGCATGATCACTACAAAAAAACTTTTCCTGGCAAAAGGACGGAAGTATGCAATTATTGTATTTTAATGAAATCGGAAGATTTCTTGGCAAAAAGTAAAAACAAAATGCCCAAGTCCTTTAATAAGTTGTTCAAAGGTTGCTTTTTGTACAGCTCAGGTTGATTTTGTAGTCAATTATATCCGTTTTGACTAAATAAAGAAAGTGTGTTTCTCATGCCCTTTTGCCGGCAACATTTTTTTCTGCTGTGATCATGCTTCCCGGCGAAAGTGCGCTTAGGCCCTTCTGCCGGCACCTGACGACATGTTTGTCGACTTCAGTTGACATTGGCTCCTTGCTTTGTCTCACCTCACATAAATTCTGAGTTAGGAAGAGTGACATACATGAAAAGAGGAAGGTAGGCATGCAACTCATCTTAGAATCAGCTTATTTCCTTATCTTTACTTCCCATGTATACAATTACAAAATCTTGAGCTGTTGGGAATTTCCTTTTTCAGAGTCCCTAGTTGCATACCTGAGAAAACCACCTAACCAATAATGTTCCTAGGCAGTGGGGTGGCATAGAATTTGTAACCTGTTTTCAAAGGTGTCCGTTCTCAAGTCAAAACATTTCCCTATTCCTGGAGGGCTTGAGTAATCCATCACTATAGAACTGTAGTCAACTTTATAAGTATTATTGTTCTGCAAGTCTGGTAGCGTGTGACAAGGAAATAAATATTGATAAAGGACTAACTTCAGTTCTTCCATTCATTTGTACAGCTTATGGTATCCATTTAGGATTAGACAGCCTGTGAGGATTTGTTTACATGTCCCGAGATGCTAAACAGAACAGTCACAATAGTTCTTACTTTGTGGATAAAAAAGAATGTTAACATTTTACAGCTTACAGATTCTCGTCAATCAAAGATAATGTTCAACCCAATAATTGAAAATTCCTTTTTTACAAGAACTGCAGTAGATCTAGAATCTCTGATGGCAAAACAGAGTCCTAGATAGTCTACGAGGATTCATGATATTTTCCTCGAAAGAAGAGCTGTTGATGGGATAAATATGAATGGCTATTTTAAGCAAGATTTGAAGCTTTACATGGTGGAAGTTACATGAGATATAGCTTGCAGGTACACCATGGAATCAATCTCTTTTTGGAAGAGGTGTGGTTCACTGGTTCACCTAAGAACCACATTTCTACCCAAAAGTGATTTATTCCATGGTATACCCGCATGCTATATCTCAATGGCCAGTTCCCTTTTTAATTACACACTCGATGCTTTATAACCACTTGCCTCCGGGGTTCTCGGTATCGGGTACCTTGGGTTTGTACACATAGCCAGGGGTACCTGAAATCGGACAAAAGAGCTGGGCCTTGCAACAAAAGACCATACTCGGAACAAAAGACCGAACTGTTGTGAATTGCCAACATTTTTCAGCTGGCATTAGCAGAGGTAATCCGTCATTGTTCTGAAACAGTATACCACTGTTTGCAGCATTCAGTGCCCCTGGATTGTCAGCGGGGACAAAAGTGCTCCAGCACTCCATGGAGGAGCAATGCAGTACCGTTGCATGCTAATCTGGCCGCATTTGAAAAGACACCACTGCCATTCAGCAACCCACTGGGCCAATTTCGGGAACAAAGGAAATTACACAACACTGCACAATCCGGGCTCTCTTTACTGGGCAGCAGGCCTGGCTGCAATACTCGGGCGTCAATGGAGGTTACCTGTCAGATTAGAGTAGCCACCAGACAGTCATTCGTGAAGGTGTAAACGTCCAGTAAATGAAGTTATGAATTTTTGAAGAATTTTGAAAACGGAAAATCTGGAAAATCGCCCAGGAACTCGTCCCACATATGCAAATTCCACCCAGCAGGAAGTGGTTAACCTAGTGTCTGGTTAAGAATCTGGCTTAACAAGAAATCAGTCAACATTTACTGACCTTCTGAGCATCTTTGAGCTCTTGCAGTTCCTTCATGAGTTTCTGGGCATGGTCCGAGGCACTCTGAGCCTGCTTAATGGATGCCTCATTCGAGGCCTGTAGTCTGGCTTCGGTAGAGATCAAGGTGCAGACCCTCCGGAGCACACTGGAAAGGAAACAGGTAAGGCATGGTGACCTGGCTGCTGCACAACGAGCAAAAAAGAAGGGTCTTGGCAGTTGGGACTTGAAACAATGGGAACATCATGGAATCCTATTTCAGCGGGAAGTCGTGGGTTCGAGTCCCATCCGAGAGTGCGCTTGTGGTTTTTTCACCAGCCTTCAGGGGCAAACACTGAGTAAAAAGTCTTATACATGTAGTACACGTCGGGCAGGGCAGAAATATCCAAAATTAAGCCTATTTCTGATCGAGATCCAGATCCATATGAAACAAACAAGCCAACAGTTTGCACGGGGATTGGGATCCTTGGTCAAACAAGAAGTCAAAGCAATGATTTCCTTTCTGATGATGGCAGGCTGCACGTCTGAGTGTGTGCTTGCTAATGCATGTCTGATACACATAAGTAATATTGTAAGTCTGTAGCATGTTTGCACCAGAACACACACTGCCATTGGTGATTGGGTCTTTCAAGATAAATCTCAAGTATGTATTGCCAGTATCGTTCCTTTAGTGTGCAGTAGAAAGACAAAACTAAACTCTGTCCTTCGATGTATCAATCAGCCAGTCATCCTATTGACAATTGACTATTGACAATTTCAAGTGATTTCCACTTTGCACAATTCTTAATTAAAGGCCTTTTACTCCAAAGTGGCTGTTGCGACTTCCAGCTCATTTTGATAGGCTTGGTCACCTTCGATTGTTGCACTAAGCTGGCCTCTCCATTTCCCCAAGCGAAGGGACACTTGTACTTGGAATAGAGAGCCCAGAAAACTCATAGGTATTCTGATATATGAACGTTTAGGAAACAGTGGGAATTTTGGTTGATCTAACAATTTGTAAGCTGGACTCCAAATGTAAGTGGACTGCTTGAAAAAGAACAGAAACCTGTAAAGTTCTGAGATGCTCCAAAAACCAAAATTTACAATCCACACCATCTTTGATTCTTTTTGTGTCTGAGCTTTGATAATTCCTTCACAAAAATGGTTGCAGAGGGCAAATAACAGAACAATTATTCCTGCAGCACTTGATTGCAAAACAATGCTTGAAAACAGTACAGTTAAAACCATTCACACCATCTCTAGACTTTTGGCTTGGGTGAATTTGGAATGTTGAAAGGGAAACAAAGAACTCCTTATAATCATTAACATATGACTCAAAAGTACAAACTCGTGAAGGCAGGGTTGTTATCTGACAAGAAACATGCAACACCTGAGTAAATAAGCCTATGGCCGGATATCAACTACAAAAGGTTCCCGATTTATGTGGCAGGTGCTTTGGTACAAATATCTTCCTGTTTCTTTTGAAAATGATATGGTTTAAAGCAACTTCTGAACTGCAACATTCAATGCACTTCTTCAGGGTGGAGTTAACTTGCAATTACACAGTTAAAAGCACAAATGGTCTAAATGGGCACAAATGCCAACTTCAAATTTCTAGCACCAGTTTCTTGAACTATTCTATTTTAAGAGGTAAATGTTTTCATTTTAATTTTTTCTCCAGTTTGTTCTCCCTCTGGATCTTGAACAGCCAGCAGTGGCCATGTCTTTGTAAGGGAAATTCACAAGGTAAAGCATCACTGATTGAAAGGACAGTCACTCACAGCCATAGGAAGAGTGCAAATCCAGCAATATACAGGTTCCTCTGGGACCGGAACAACTTCATGTTGAGCTGTACCTCAGCTCCGGGTACAGAAACATCAATCTCGGCATAAGCCGACGAGTATTTCCGCACATCTCGGATAGCATCTGCAAAAAAGAAAGTTGCTATGAGATCACTCACTGATCAAGGGTTCATTGCTACACCAACAGGCTCATGGAAATGAGTGACTGTTCACCTGGTCACTGAAAATGAAGCCTTGTGTTTTGGTGGTTTTTCAGGCTTAGGAGAGAAAAAAACTTGCCATGACCATTTTTAGATGGCTACGTAGACAGTACAGCAAGCAGTAAGCACCTGACCAACTTATATGCTAATTAGCTAAGAGGTGGAGATATTTCAACAGTAAGCACGTCAGAAATTGACATCTTGGCTGAGGTCGAGTTCGGACAGCCTGTTCTTGACATGGTTACATGTACTTGTTCCCGTGCTTAGACAGACGGTAACACAACCCAAGAACACTGTTCTTGGAACAGGATCACACATCACTTCCACGTCAGGGTTTACAAGAACACGAGGAAAAACAAGTGAGCTTTAGATTTTTGAAGAGCCGTGTATACTGACGACATCACGCTTTGTTTGCATGTTCTTTCCCACAGAGATTTAAATTTATTGTCCCAAAGGAAAATGCACAAGTTAACCATGCTGTCATCATTACAGCATGGTTACAGCATGGTCCAAGTGGTCGAAAGAGTAGTCATTTAATCATGAATTGTGCTTAACACAGTATTACCAACAGTCTAATTTGAAGGGTAATTAAATTGACAAAGACCTATCTGAGAACAAACTTATTGATGGTAGCTTACCGACAAACAGCAGGCCTAAGATGGCGATGAACACATTGAAGTAGATATAGGAAAAGGAATTGATTGTCTTCAGAATTGAAGAGTTAAAGATCTTCTGCCACCTGTTGAATACAGAGGGTATACAAGTGAACAATTTACAATGGGGCAGAGCTTACTTTTCTGATCACCCTAAGCCCGGTAGGTTTTTCTTGACACCTGCTGAATGTAACCCAGTCTAACATTAAAGTACACATGAGAATCTTGGAGCCAGACAGAAACTGCCAATTTTTAGTTACGATAGGCTCAGAATTTTAGATTGGGGCTAACTGCACATGAACATTATATTCCAAATAACTAGTTTAAAATCAGTACAGAAACATTATTTTATTTCATCGGTAGCCATTCAACTAAAAAGTAAATAGAGGAAAACCTTGATAACTCAAAAGTCAAGCGAGTGAATAAAAAATTCGAGTTATACGGACTTTGAGTTAAAGAAAGTTTCACAGCCAAGGAACCAATACACGTTACACGTACATGTAGGTACTCATACTCCCTGCATGGTAGAAACATTTTGGTGGCTATTTTCCACTTTTTATTCATTCTCATCACTTTCTGTGGTCCCATGACCATTGTAATAGGCAGTGATTGGTCCATCCGCACATGAATCTTGCAGTGGCGATCAGGCTAGCCTGAAAGCTGTGGTCCCATGACCATTGTAATAGGCAGTGATTGGTCCATTTGCACATGGATCTTGCAGTGGCGATCAGGCTAGCCTGAAAGCTGTGGTCCCATGACCATTGTAATAGGCAGTGATTGGTCCATTTGCACATGAATCTTGCGGTGGCGATCAGGCTAGCCTGAAAGCTGTGGTCCCATGACCATTGTAATAGGCAGTGATTGGTCTATCCGCACATGGGTCTTGTTGTGGCAATCAAGCTAGCCTGAAAGCCCAGATTTGTTGCAGTTACAGTGTGGCATGGTTTATTAAGTGAGCCTCACAGCATGTATGCCATGCAAGCAGATCGCGAGTGAAAGACAATGTATGCTTGGCAGCATGGTCCCCATATTGGTCCTTTTTGAGACGATTTAGTGGTGGTTTTTTGGATCATAGTCACAAAATCTTTGACTTAAGCCGGATTTTGGCCACTAGTAATTTGACTTACAGAAGTCTTTATGTAAACAAATGCCTATTCTTTCAACAATAAAGTATCACTTTGAGACAAGTGGACTTTCAACTCAGCCGAATTTGACTTATCAAGGTTTTACTGCAGCAAAATTAACCTCTTGGTAAATTCTTAATCAGTTGGTGTAAGCATTTTATGTGCTGCCTTCCGTGTACATGTCAACAAACATGCTGACCATGGTAACATTACCACTGATTGTTTACAATGACCCACTTTGTTGGCAGCATCAACCACTGTGATGAGTACTGTACAGAGCTAGAGCCACTGTACCAGAAAAGTTGCTCAACACAATGCCTTCCACCATCGAAGGGGGCCATCGGGAACACCCAGTGAGATAACAGATTGTCTACTCAAGTCTGACTTGAATCCCTTTCCCTTGGGCAGGTTGCCAAAATTTGATGACGTTTTACAATGAGCCAATTTGTGTTTTAAACAGGCGAGGCCATTATCCCAACCTCCTTTGGCTTTTCTCTACGCATTATGCTGAACCCAAAGGAACACAAAAGAAAAAAGGGAAGTCTGCTGAACCCTGAAAGAAAACAACTACTACATGTAGGACAAAGGTCTTTTTTCCCACAACTCAGATCAACAAAAACCCACAGAAATAGCACACTGTTTGACACAGTTGGATCTAGTATGGTTTGGGTTAAAGAACAAAGCACCTGACATCGTACAAGTTTGAATATAATTAACGCATATACTAGGTCGTTCTAATAGGGCCATCCTTAAGTGCATGTCCATGATCTTCAAACGACCAATGGCGCGCTTCATTTTGTGCATGCCCAGTTGGAATACCACACTGGTTCATTCACTCACATGTAGGGTTTGATGAAAGGCAGTAAGAGAAGTAAGAGAACCGCAGCCTCTAAGTAGAGGAATCCGGCAACAAATGTCCACTGAAGGGTCATGGTTGATGGGATATTGCCTCAGAGCTTGTAACGAGCACTAAAGCAATGTAATCCTGTCTGCATGTAAGAAACAACATGATGGAAAAATAATTAATGAAATAGCTACAGTAAATCACTCACTGACAGGACTGACAAAAAAAATTAAACACAGTTTAATGTTAGTCACCATGATATTTCCATCCAGACCCTTTCTCTGCTGAGACTTGGAAATCAAGCTCACGAACCTTTAGCCTTCAAGAATGGATAGGAAAATGTATTATTTCAATAAATTTTGTTTGATAACAAAGAATTCTTCAGGTTACAAATGTATGCAACTCTTTCAAAAATGAAACAAACCTCCGATTTGTTACATGCCTGTGGAAGTCAGTCTTAAGATAGGGACACACAACAGGTTCTTCCTTCTCCCAATTTTGGCAAAAGCGCTGTAACTTAACCACACATGTATGTGGTTTGTGCATTATTGCATATGCATAATTTTTGTTAGTGGTACAATATCATAAAAAACAAGTGGTCAATTATCCACTTTGTGTAAAGTCTTAGTAATTAACATGATCACTCCACAGGGCTAAATCTAGAAAGAATCCCATGGATCTGTTGGACCATTGCTGTATTCCAGTGTCTTAACCCTCCTTTGGTTTTACAGCACAAATATGCTCACGTGCCCAAGGTCACTCTCTTGCATGTTGGTGCAGTGCACAACACAACACAGCTGTGCTTCTTTGAGGTGTTTACCAAGTGACCCAAAGAGTGACTTCAGCATAGGAGGGTTAAAGGACTTAAAACACAAACACTATGATCATGACATGCCTCCCTCCTATTGATGCATAATGCTGGATTGACAGACTCATGATAGTAACGATGTCATTAACATACATGTATCACTACATACATGACATATGTGTACTGATTTTTAGTCAGAAAGAGTTCCATATGAATTATGAGGGATGCCACTTGACACCCCATGCATAAATCCTTTGAACGTTTTCTTAGTAAATGACTCTGTAGTTTCCCTCTTAAATTGAACTTTTCCGAACATATTTTTGCTTTCTGATGGCTAGTAAGTCACTGACACCGTGATGACTGTATGAACCTGTACTGCAGTCCATAGCTTGTACACATGTAGGCCTAGGCTAGGGAATAATTACTCGCATCCGTATATGGAACTCTATCCTCATGCTTTCCCTTGATGAAAATTCTGGAAAGTAAAATAAAGTCAGTGTTAAATCTATTTAAGTTCTCGCTGTCGGGATGACATCACTGATTCTTGATTCTTCTCTCTGGTTAATGGTGGCCATTCCATATTTCACACTTGAAACTCAAAGGGGCAAAAATAGTGTTGCTGTCTATGGGAAAATCTAAATTAGGGCCTACTGACTGACTTGGCCTAAAGTCTTATCCTTAGGCTTTAACATCAAATGTGCCTGAAGTTTCACTATTTCTGCACTATGAATATCTCCACACTGGACTGATATTTGAGTGAAAAGGTTTCAGTTATCTGCCCTAGGCCCTATTCAGAGCTATTTTTATCATGTTGCAGCAAAAAAAAAAGACTGAAGCCTGAAGGAGGAAAACATGGAAATCCATGTACAAAGTGAATGGAGAGTTGCCCCTTGCCCAGACGTGGGTGCAATAAATGGAACAACCTCCGACCACGAGAACGGTCGATGTTCATGACATGTGAGACCATGGAGGAGTATTTCCCCATGGTGAGACTAGTTGTAGTTTCTTGTAGTTGTACTTCCAACCGTTCCCACGCGCACGCCCGGCCGTAGTACTATGCCTACCTAGGTTCCACAATGCAGACCGCAGACTTCCAATATTCTAAGTCACTCACTTTACTTCCAAAATTACTCAAGTACAATCGAGGCAACTGAAAAGTTTTCACTGTTTCAACACTTCTTAAACCTAAAGTGACCAAATGTACACGTGTAACATTATTCTACCAAACCTTACAGCAGAAATGAGTAAGTTTACATCAGTAACCTCATGCAGATGGTACGTGTCCTTACCAAAAACTAAGATAGAAACCACGTTTGGTATCCTGAATATAGCTATCCATATACATCTTCAATAAGGTAGAGAACCTGACTCGAATAGCGAGATTGGTACCATATGTCGACATCTTGTGAAAAGTTAGTTTCACCGTAGGGTAGCTTGGGTACATGGCAACGTTGAGCGCGCGCTCGAGCGGTGAGGGCGCACCTTTCAAAACTGTGAATACTGCACTCGCACCGTTGGTCAGTGTAACACGAACAGGTTTGTTTGTGAGTTAAAATTGTATTGAAGTGGCACATTTGATTTGTAATTTCATTTGCATGGATCCTTTGCCACATGAACCATTACTGCAACACTCCCAGTTACCCTGAATGTACAAATAATTGGATATAAGCGTGATGATACAATCAATCATGACGATGTTGACGATACCAAGCCTAGGCGCTATTTCAGGCGCATAGTGTATTGCGCGCAAGACATTAATGGCACAGGTCGCATCCGCTTGTTGGAAATAGAAGTGAAACTAACATTAGGGACCAAAACAGACATTGCATTTTCAATGAATGCCTTTGCAAATAGGTTAGTTTTAAAGAGCATGTTAATCTGATCAATTTGATACCTGTATTTTGGACATGTGTTGAGGGGTTCTCGAGATACGGCCCTCCAAAATTTGAATTTTTGTGTTTATTTTCTCTCTTTTTCCCTATGGGAAACTTGACACTCCCTAGGGGGTAAACTGACTGTTTACTCCACTTTTTCACAGTAAAAAAACCTGTAAACAAATTGAATTCATGCCAACTTCATAAATTCTGGCCTTATTTCAATGTTTCTTTTTTATCTCAAGGCACATTCACTAACATGACTAAAGAGATCAGCTTCCATACCCTGTACTTGACATCTATACACAAACAGCAAACCCTGTCAGTGTCATTCTTTAGGATTGGTCTGGAAAATTTGTTTCCTAAGTAAAAACTTCGCTCTTTAGTATTTTGCTGTTAAATTTGACCTTTTTTATCATGACCACTATTGCTTTCTGATAGTTGATCTATAACTGCTTGGAAAAATTAGTGATGACCATGAATAAATGATGTGGAATTCTGCTTAGATTGATCACGGAGTGACTGATCACACCTACATGTAACACTAACAGTGACAGACCTGCAAAAGCACAGAAGAGCCTGAAGAAGAAAGAAAGACAAGGAAGAAACAGACGCATTTTAACAAACATAAGCTTTGTGTGCTTAGTGTGCTTCTGTGGAAAGACAGAATGCCCTGTTAGTTCTCGGGGTACAAATAGTTCTGTGCACACACTCGTTTTTCCACTAAAGTAACCATGGTAACATTGTTCTTAGTAAGCATGTGCCATCTCATTCTCAAGTCATGATCAGCAGAAATGTTTGATTCCTTAATCGTGCTATGCTGTCATTCCATCTTGGACAAAATCTCACTTTTCGTTGTCAAAACAGTCTTGTACAAACAGGATTGACCAATGACACAGCACAAATGACTCATTGTGCAGTTTCATGTAGGTCATGTTATAATGTGGGTGTCCAAAGTTTGCCCTCTTGCTGTCACATCTGACATATAACTTGGTAAGTTTAGAACATGTTCTTTAATTTTCCAAGAATGCAAATTTTATAATACAAAAAACCTGCGGAACAAAAAATATAGTTTGAAGTCTATTTCAATGATATTTCCATGTTAAATGGTAGATTAAGAGACAGTGGTCTCTATACAGATTTGTTCCTTTTATTTTTACAGTCAACATGGCCTCAAGAGCAGTCGCTATCTGTTCTAGCGAACCTCCAAATTTATCAAAGATGAAGAAGTTATCCTTGGCTGATGTCCAGGCTGGATCATCCTTCAATTTTAAGTACATTGAGGTAGGTCTACTTTTTGTTTTGGTATGACAAAAGCTTCATAGAATGTGTGGAATGCTGTCAGTAAACAAAGAAGGCCTTGTACAGTTTGCATTTTGAAAAATCTTTTGGAGCATCTTTAAAGCTTAGTGAGTTCGTTAGATACACTTAGTGGGTTTCAAAAACTGAAGTTTATTTTAACTAAAAGATTTATTCATGGTTTTTGAAAAAAGGGGAAAAATGACTCTGTTTTAATCTTTGTTCGATGTGCAGGGAAAGATTGCTAAGATGTGGCCACTCCACTCAGCTGGCAAACACAAGCGAATGAAATTAATTCTTGAGGAGGAGACGGGCGCCCAGGATGCCCCGCCCCCAAGTAGGATCATTGTGTTCCTAACTGGAGCCTTTGCGGAGGAGTTCATTCAGTTTTCTGATGGAGTGAGTTGTTGTTATTATGCATTTTTTATTTCACACATTGCTCACATTATTATCGTTGGTTTAAAGACTGTTATCCAGTCTCTTCTGGGTTGGCCTGCTTTCTTGCTATGACTCTCTTCCACCTGGCCCTGTTCTCTGCATCCTTCTGCATCCCCTGCATTGAACCAAGACGTCGCGTGTCATCTGACACCGACCTCTGCCACGTTTTGCAAGGTCAACCTCATTTTTTTATCGACTGGTTATAAGCAGTTTTACTGCAGAGGAAATATTATGTTTAAAATTAAGCTATATTTCTGCTGTTGATTATTTTAACTGGTACTTTTGCAAGCATGGGTTTCATTCATGATGTTTTAACTTCATTGGTGTCCTCTTAAGTGAAAAGGGGTAATATAGGAAAGTATCCCCCAAGGGTACAAGTGTGATCCGAGTTGGCATTCAAACTCACATGCATATTCCTTTGGGCTTAAGTCCAACACTTGGCAAGAACCATGAAATTTTACTAGCGTATCCATTAAGGATGACTTCAATCAAGCTATGTCCACAGGTAGTCTATGCTATATCCAATTGTTTGTCAACTGAATGAGTGTGGAATTTCTGCATACATGCATCTGTCACAAACATCTTAGATAAATGTGTGCTGTTAATTTTGGATCAGGATGCTTTTATCAGTAAGAGTGAAATTTATGTTTCTGCAAGAAGGCCTCAGTCTATGTGTACATGTATATAAAGTTCACAGCATCCTTGTTTCAAAGGACACTGTTATTATCAGTGAAGCTCTGATCGAGAAGTCGCCATCTTTCGTCACCGACTCCATCCATCCCTGTAACATCCTGGTTGAGAAGACTCGATCTAGGCCATCAGTCTGGGTGAGTAGACACCATTGCGAGAGACTGGCTTTAGTGGAAACTCATTTGAAGGAACTGGTCTCTCCCAAATTATTTATGATTCACAAGAAGGATTTGAGAATTTTGCTGGATTGTGGAAGGTTGAGGCAGGTCACTATTATGTGACTCGATGCATTGTGAAAGGTCAAGTACAAAGAATGTGCCGTTGGTTTCCTGTAGAGTGGTTTAAATTGATGAGGACTCGGGAAGGTTACTCACAAAAATTGCCAGGGTGTTTAACTTTGTGAATGGCCATGAAACAGCTTTTATAGTAAACAGTGAATTTTTGGCAAGTTAATGAGGAATCACACAATGAAGCTTGCATCTGTGGCATTGTGCATCTTGCTTTGAATTATGAGCTAACAAGGTTGTCCATGGGATTGAAACCCTGTCTACTCAGAGAGTAAGAAAACTCAAGAAATAGGTTATTAAAGTAAAGCAAACTTCCACTATCCCAGGCTCATGATTTGCTATTGATAAGAACCATAACTTTTTAATAGTCTTTGTGCAATTCCTCCCTAAAGAATTTTTGGCTACATTTTTCTCTATCTCATGACTGTCTCGCAGGTGATACCTACCGAGAAACAGACGAAGGCTACCAATACCCGCACCCCACAAAGCCAGGCTGCTTCCAGTTCCTCAACCTCAAGATCTACATCCACAGTGATCTCAAGCTCTAGCAATGCAAGCCAGCAACAGACCCCCACCACCAGACTCGATGACACTGGGGCTGTGTCATCGTCATCTGCTCCGTCAACTAGCACGGTCAATGCAGGGAATCCAAACCAAGACACGCCTTGGAGTAGTGATGCCGCCACAACCGCAGGGAATCCCATGGATGCGTGGACAGTCCCGGATGCAAACCTCTCACCCACAAAGGTGAGATGAAGCTAAGATATATAGTGTTGGGAAATGCCAGGTAACAGTGCAGCCAAGGGGGACAGGGGCCCGAGCCTCCATCAGTTTCAGAGTGTGTACTCTGTGATAAGGGATGGACTGGTTTATCCAAAGTGTTACAACTGAGTTTGGATGCCTCATTTTCAAGACAATGGTGTTCAGTCATGCATGACAGGAGGGATGCCATCAAGGTATCATTAGAAAGAATACTGCTTCTACTATTCAGAGATCCTTAGACATTATAATCATATCTCATGGTTTGGGCATATTAACCCCTTTCCTCAGGGTTTGGCTTTGTCTGAGACACCCTGTACAATACAGGACAATAAAATAATGTTCAACGTCAAACAATACACAGTGTCGACCGTCATGACATGGCCAGGCTCACACAATGTGCCGGCAAGTAAGCAATTATACACTAGTCAAATTTGTACACCAAACTTCTGGACAGAAATCACAGAAACTTAAGGAACTCCCTCCAAATGCAGGTTTACGATGATCTATAGATACGATAAGTCACTCACCCATACATTGATGCAATAAGGACAAGTATGATACAAAGTTGGCTTCACTATCAACCATCCAATTAGGATATTTGTGGGTGAGAAAGTTAGCTTTTTTCAGAGGGATGTCTCACGAGCAGGATTCAACAATGGAAAAGACCCAAACTCACGTGTCGTCAAATTTAGGAATACACTCAGAGCTAGACATACACAATTAAATATTCATGACATTGAAATGAAGATTAAGTTTGGTTACAGGTAGGCCTACCATAAACATAGCTCCAAAATCAGCCCTTGCAATGTCAATAATAATTTGTACAATAGAAACATAATGTAATGGGGGATTTATCAGAAACCAGAACAATATGCGCTGTTTAAAGAAGCGCACTTAGACTATGAATATTTATGAGGGAATATACGCTAAGGAGACCCATACATGGCAGATTCCCACAGTAGGACCATGTGGCCTAGTGGTTTGTGTTTGTAGCTTTCAATCACAGGGTCAGAGGTTCGAATCTAGTAGCTGGTTGCATGTTGCGGTGACCGCGGTCAGTTCACTTAACCCCTATGTGCCTTTCTCCACCCAGGAGTAAATGGGTACCTATGAGGGCAGATATGGTTATGTTTGCGCCTGATATGGCAGCATCCGACTAGTATACTCCCCAGGGAGCTGAGATGGTTTCAGGAATGTTCAGATGATGTCAGCCCAATGTGCAGGGATAATGACAGATGCCATTGAATGGCAGATACCATCAATGTTATTTTTTATTCTCAGTCTTATTTTGATTGGGATCTTGAACAGATCAACTAGTTTGTGATAAGGTAATCAGAAAAGACACCTGTACTGCGTTGGAACCTCACTCATACATGGCTTCGTCAGCTTGTGCAAGCGCGGTGCATGGCAAGTCACAACACACTCTTGGCCAAGGAGGCATGTAACAAGTGCTTATCACCTGTCCACAAGCTTTTTTTCCTCCGCAGTAATGACTTCAACTTCCGCTCACCCAATGAGGCTGTTGGGTCAGACCTTCTAAATTTGCTAAAAACAGAAACCAAGACAAGATTTTGGAACGTTTCCTCACTTTGTTACCTGTTCTTGTTTTCTGTTCCAGAGGACTTACACCTACACTGTCCTCAGGGACTTGAAGGAAGCTCCTCACGTCAATATCTTTGGCGTTGTCAAATTCTTCAAGCCTCCTTACAAGACCAGGGGACCAGGTGATCAGGATAGCGAAAAATATGGTTACTTTGCCTAATGTCAACAGAGCAGGTGTACTTGCCCTACCTAGATTTAGACCCTAGATTTTCTGTGTCATGTTTATAGTTTATTTTCTTTCCAGTATCTGTCTACTTTTGAGTGCAAGTGACTGCTCACTGTTCCACAGAGTTTCTAAAATGTAAAATTTTGCAATTTTACAAGACTAAATAGACACTAATGTGAGATAGAAAGTTTCTTGGAACTTGTTGCTGACTATAGTGAGATGAAATATTCAAATCAAAAAGTTATAGGGCCTGGTGTTTCAATCCTGGCAGAATCTTTGCAAAGGCAAAAGACATTAAGGATACTATGAAACATTTGTTGGTTGTTTGGTTCAATAAAGAAATGGCCAGTACAGAATGGTGTTGATATTAAAATGTTGTAATTTTTGTTTTTAGACACGTACTGAAATCAGTTTGTAAAAGATAGTGTCGCTAAGAAACAATTTAATTAAACAGAATTTAGACATTTCAGAAGTAATCCTTCAGCTTGGAACAATATTTGGACAAAATAAAAATGTGTACTTTGGACTGGTTTCAGATTACTGTATGACAGTGACCCTGATTGACCAGACCCTTGACCCCAGCCATCGCGGCTTACGATGTCAACTCTTTCGCGATGACATCAATGCTCTCCCCCAAGTACACGCTATTGGGGATATTGTACGCTTCCATCGCTTGAAGGTAAAATTGTTTATTTCTTCTTTCCAACAGAAAAATACAGAAAAACAGAAAAAAAGAACAACAGAAAAAAAGATTGGAGTGAGTTTCATTGAGATTTCTATGTCAAGTTACAGATGTGAGTTGTAACAGGGACTCAAAACTGTCACACTTGTGGACCCTTAATTTATAGAACATCCTAGAGCTGTATTCAAAATCAGCTATTCAAATTTATTTACTTACATAGATCAGCTTGTACAACAATGGTTTACAAGGACAGAAGGGTAGTGGTTTCCAATGCTTGGTGTTTGACGGAGCGGTAAACGCCCCCATGGAACCAAGAGCATCTAGCTCCAACTTCACACTGACAGATGATGACAAACAAAGGGTATGAAGAGTTTACTTGTCAACTTGAATGGATTGAAATGTTTGAGAGGCTAAACCCCTTTGAGGGGTTTTTAAAGATATTGACAGATGTTTATCGGAATTTAAACCAAAAAGTCCATACTTTTCTGAAATCCTGTAATATGTATAAATTTTTTAAATAAAAGATGCAACTTGATTTTCAAATAATAAATCTTTATCCGCCCCAAACTGAAATGCATCCCCAATCGGTGAAAAGAAAGACAGGTGGTTACAAGCGGGTTCTTGCATGTGTTTTGCTTGTACGCAGAGTAAATTAGTTACGCGTACTTAGGGTGCTCTGAGTCAAACGGGCATGTACTCATGGCGCACCTTTGCGGTGAGTACCAAAACATCATTCCCTCTGTTCTGCTCAGAGCGGGTTGGGTTAAACCCACAGCAAGGTCATGACAGTTGTTACATCCACATGATTGATTGTAGTTGACAATAATTAAAATGCATCTGAATTTCTTCCTCTCTCCATAACTCTTCAGGGGAATTTTATTCCATTGAAATCCCTCTTTGTGTTATTGGCATAGTAGTGAATGTTTTAAACAATTAATTAACGGTTTGTCCTTGGAGGTCTTCATTAACCCTCTAAAATTCTAATTATCTGTAGCAAACATCTTAACCTTGTAAGCCATTTCCTAAGGCTTTGTCTAAATCAGTTGGCTATGGCTGGGGCTAACATGTGTCAGTGGGAAGCCGCTGGCTTCCACAGGTGCTCTATAGTTCACATTATTTCTGACCCCTGAACCCTCTCAGGTTGAGGAGTTAAGACTTTGGTCCAGTCGTCGCACCCAGCTGGCCCTCGACAACCGATGTTGCTCCTTAGCCAAGATGTACGTGGGCCAATACCTTGATCTTACCTGTCAAGTTGTATCGGTGGCTGTCTTGTCTTCTGAGAAGTGTGCTGTAATCCGTGTCTGGGATGGAACCCATTATAGGGGGTAAGTTCTCAATGATTTATTCGCTCAAATAAGTAGCTGTCTTTTCATGGCAGGTAGTTGTAACTGCAGGTGCATAACATTTGAAGTCATTTCATTTAGAGTGGATTTCATTATTCATGTTTGCAACAGCAAACTTATTTCACATTTGTGTTTCGCTGAAATGTGAACTTGAATTAAAGAGTAAAAGTTTTGACATTTTGACAAACAGGATGTATTTCGCAGTTTCCAAGTTTCAGAAGAGTGTCTGTTTTTCTAGAGAAGATGTACTACCCTCAACAACCAGTGAACACAACACATTTCATATTTGGTAGTTCACTATTTCATCTGAGCTTAAACTCAGGAACAGCTGCTTCTAGTGCGTGGAATTGCTCCTTTCTTTACTTATCTTCAAATTTGCAAGTACAGATTTCCTTGATGCAGAACAACCATTTATTGTAGGGTATTACTAGAAATACACACTCGGCTGTGATCAAGCTGTTTTCTAAAAACTCCCTGTCGTTGTCTTTGGTAAATTATCTTAGTTTATTGGTTGTATCACTTCCTTTTTTGCTTTCTTTTAGACCGGTACGCGTGATGGATACCAGCAGCAGTGTGAACGTTCAGAATGATCCAGAGCTTGTCCATAAGTCCGAAGGGCTGACTTATGACGTGTCATTGTATGACAACCACATGGAAACAGGTGCCAAACTGAAGGTATGGTCTCTCATTCAACTCGGTCTTTCTAACGAGACAAAATCAACATTGACAAAGTAGCAATTTTGAAATCTGTAACAACTCAAGTCATCATTACATTACAGTTGACAGCACAGTGCACATTACCCACCTGGTCCTTAGGTCTTCAATCATATTGAAACCAGACATTTTAGTAAGTGCACCTGCTCAATCTGTACAGGAATTATCGATGGTGCTTTATGGCCTGTCTGTGATAGCGCAGACGGGACTCATAACTTGTGAGAGTTGGTTTGTGCTGGGAGCGAAGCCTTAGGAATTTGTAGCTTAAATTTGTCCAAAGGCCTCTGCCTATCATTTACTGTGTGCGGAATTGTCTGTGAAAAGAAAAGCTCATAAGCTAGCCTGCGCAGGAGTGCTGTGAGTCATAAATGCAAACTCCTAATCTTTTCTTATACAAACCTCTTTTTTTAAGTTTGTGTAAACTAAGTGGAAGATTAATTTGAAAACTGAAGTGTTTGGTTTCTTCATCAAAGCCCAGCTTTCAGGGCAGTGTTTTGTTAATGTAGACATGTTGGAGGGTGGGAGATGCTGGTTTGTGTTGAAATAAGAAACTTAGAAATGACATGAAGTAAAGAACTGCATTCATGGAGCAGTAAACTCTCAACATTGAGTAATTGATTCTCATACACCAGCACCAGTAATCCAGATATGGTGGGTTCGAATCCCAGTGGATACAGCCTGGGTAGGTTGTCTCAAACGATCTCAGGTTTGAGCATAACATTGCCGCTTATATGAGACCGAGAAGGCATACATCCTTGTTTGAAAACAAAGAAATATGCATAATTTTAAGTTTTGGATGATTATTTCTAGCCTGGACAATTTATCAAGATCTGCAATCTGCATGTTGCCAAGTTTCCGTTACTGGGGAGACCAGACGGCAGTCCAGAGATGGTGGAACTTGTGTTGCATCGTGGGACATCTTACGGCCGAGGTGTTGTTACACTGATGGATTGGGAACAGGGAGTCAAGGATATGATCAAGTAAGAAGTGGTTATTGCTTTGTTAAAACAAAAGACTGTAAATTCTGTAACATGAACTATTGTACTTTCCATTACTGCGTCCAGGGTTCGACTCTCATGTTCTTATTGTGAATACGATGGCTTTTCTCAACTCTTTTCTTCTCTGCTGTTTCATTTTGGTATATACAAATTCAGAATTCTATTTTCATGAAAGAGGGTCATTGATACTTTCATGATGACAGCACGATGATGTCTTGTGTACTGCCAAATTAAAGTTTCATGAAATCACATCAGTTTTTGAAGTTTAGGGAAGTCAAAGAAGAAATTTTCATGTATAATAAGTTCAGTTTTTGTGAACGTAAACTGTAGAAACATCTGTTTTTCTTTAAAATGTAGCTTTTTTAATCATCCTTGTTGCCTGATTCTAGACGTATGGAGGAAATTGTCCAAAACGCCCCAAGCATTAGTGGAGTAATCAATCAGAATGAAGCCCAGTCTTCATTGGTTCCTGAACCCATGGGTGGAACGAGCAAGAGTACACAATTGACCAATGGCAGCGCACCAGGCTCTCCCCTCCGATGCATGCAACGATCTGCGTCAGGTAATACATCTCAAACTGCTAAATTCCAGGCTAGATTTGGTTTCAGAAACTCAAAAGATTTTGGTAGCCATTTCTAAACTTGAATTCTACACTGTAAGAAAGGAACTTAACACAAGATGGCCGCTGTTGGCTCAACTGCTATTGTCTTCAACACGTGACTTCATAAGTGATTTATTTACTGCTGTTGTCTTTTTGTTCATATTATTCCTCTGCCCAGTGATAACTGACCATTTTCACCAGAAGACCTCTCGCATCGCTGACGTCATCCATGCAGAGGCCCCCAACAAGTTTCGGCTCCGAGCCAAAGTGATTGACTATCTTCCTAACAACATCATTGACTTCATCCATCTTTACTGCTCCAAATGTAAATTCAGGTACCTCAGCACCAATGTTTACAATTCTCTTTCCCCATTCTTGATGGCTTTTCAACTTGTAATGAAGACAGCTAAGCTGTCCTTTATCCATGTATTACTTGTGATATCAATCAATGCTTAGTTTGTGCTTGAAATAAATTATGCCACTGTTTGTGTCTTGTGATGGTTTTCACTAAAATGTTTCCCGTGGCTTTTACAACCTTGACTTCGTTAATGTGCATATATGTACAGATATGCCTATCTGATAAATTGACATACCAAAGGATTTAAAAAAGCAAGGCATTACCATATCGGTGTTGTGGATGATCTCGTCAGTATTAATGTCAGTGAAATCCAGGATTTCTGAGTAACCCCCCAAAACTTGAGGGCTTTGTGAGCAAGTGTAACTTTCCCCTTACAGCCTACTTCATGAATACCTAAGACAGTGTAGTTATTTTTATTGGTTAAGAGCTCGTCATGTAACCAGTCCTAAAGATTGATAAAACACTGACTTGTAGAAGCACATATCATAATATGGCTAGAGGGGTGTTTGAAAAAATTGACATAAATGTGGAGAACAAAATTGATGGAAATTTACAAGTTTTTCCAACTTGGTCTGACTTTCTGACATACATTATTAGATATTTATGAATTGGAATAAGCATGTGCTTGGCTGGTCTTAAACTAACATTTGAGATCGGCTTAGGAGAATGGACTTGACCAATGCCTGAGCCTGCAGGTCGGATATTATCAACATCCATTCTCTTGAGTCAGTCTTTAACTTCAGTTTAAGACCAGCTAAGCATGTATTTATTCCTTTGATTAAATATACGTGTCATAAAACTCATGCACGTATCACCATTTGCATTCTTTCAAATTCAGTTGGAGATCAGTCACAAATGTCGGCAACATTGGCAGCATTTCTGTAAATAAAATGTCACCCTTGTCACATTACCATCGGTAGTAGGACGATTCTGAATAATAGAAGCAGTTCTTTTTTGTTATAATGTTCCCATCAGATGCCGAGTGCCTGCACCCCAAAAACCTGCCTCGTCAGAAAAGACCAGTACTCACAAGAAGGCTAGCTCTGCAGCCGAGCAGGCAACACCCTTGAAAGATGCAGCTGTGAGCAATGAATACAATTTGAGGAGAGCCACTTCAAAGGGAGCAGAGAGTACGAAAGAGGAAACAATTCAAGGAGTTCGCACCCGGAGCGCAACGCAGGAAGCTGCCAAAGAAAGTCCACAGAAAGATACCTCAATTGAGAGCCCTAGACGAACCTGCCAAACCAAACCCTTGGAGTCAGAAAGGTCACCTGCAGAAGAAAGCGAAAGATCATCAAGAAAATGGAGTACTTTAAGGAAACGACCAGCTACTCAGGTCTTGCAAGATGAAGATGCCCCAAGCCCTAAGAAGAACCGTAGAGGAACGTCCAAGATGGCAGCTGGGACAGATAAAAGGAAGGCATCGTCAGAGACAGATAGCAGCGGGATAGAGGTTGATGGCAACAGCAAGCAAGATGTTGGTCAGGGCAGTACAGCATCCAGTGATATGGGAAAGAGGTTGATGATGACTGATATCTATGGACGGAACATCACTGCAGAGCTTGTGAGTACCAGTGATGATGGAGAGGAGGAGGGGGAGGAGTCTAGATTTAATAGGAGGCGGAGACAGAAGATCAGAGTTGAAGTTGACAGTGAGTAATAGTTATTTTGTATAATATGTGAATAAAAGCAGTCTCCTTTGAAACAGTGACATTTGTGGAATGTAATGTTTATTGTCAGCCATAGTCTCAGAGATTGTCCCATAATAATCATCAATTTTTCAAGACATAAAAACGATTAGTTTACCTCAAGAAACAAGAAGAAGCTCGTGCATCCTTTTCAGGTTGTTTCTTGCCTGTGTTTTTTCAATATAATTTGAGGTCACGCAGGATAAATGATTATTTTTTGCATTTGAAAAGAATCTGCACTTTTTAAAGATTTGTGCTTTATTCCTACAAGGTAATGGTACTCAGGTTTTTTGTAAGTTTCATTGTCTTCTTGTTTCTGTTTTTTTACCTGCATGTATCTCAAAATGTTGATTTAAATTCCCAATTGACATTATGCATTTAAATTCTTCATCAAATTTCATGCCCTGGTTTAAGTTATTTTATAAGACTGACAACGGAATGGAAATGGACATTCTAATGATGGATTTTGTTCTGTAGGCTTGACACCTGAAGAGGCCCTGTTGATGGCACGCCTTGGATTGAGACTAGTCCACTATGGCGGCGTGCCGATTAGTAAAGGTCAGGTGACCATTCCTGGAACCAATCACAAAGATTCTAACAGCTCTGTCTATTACCTCTGCCCCCATTGCTCAAGAGTTGATGATACACAAGACGTTGCAGGTAAGCTCTTGACTTGGAGCCAGTTTCATAACTTGCTAAGTATATGTGATGTTTATTCACCCCCCCCCAAAAAACGGTTACCAGCTATAATGACATGCATTGCATTTGGATCTTGACTGGTCCCCTGCTGATTTGCGCTGAACAAAGAAATGTGCTAAACAGTATTTCCTGTGTGGTAACTGTGAAAGTAGGCAGTGGACTCACTTTGCAATGAATCCAAACCCAATGGAGAGGCTATTTTTCATGGACAAAACCGTAACTACCTTGCTGCTGCTTTGAGTCATTGTAATTTTTTGCATTCTCTGCAGAAGATGCACCCCTTCTACGGTACACTTACTGTGTGAAGTTATTTCTGGAAGATGGCACCGGTTCCATTGAAGTTATAGCTGACAGACAACATGCAGTGGGTTCTTTTTCCTGAAAACTTGTTGAACAAAATTAGTGTCATTAACCACTTGCTGCCGAGGGCAGTTATCAATGTTGGTGATGCTGGTCCGGGACAATTATCATTTTTTTCTGTTTCAAAATTCTTAAAAATTCCTATCTTCATTTACTGGACACTTACGAACGCGTGAAGGACTGTCTGGTGTCCCATCTAGCCTGACAGACAAAATCTATTGATGCCCGAGTATTTCAGCCAGACCTACAGCGTTGTAAAAAGAGCCCAGATTGTGCGGTGTTACAATGTATATAAGTTTCTTTTGTTCACGAACCTGGCTCAGTGCGCTGCTGACCTCTTTTCAATAGGGGCCAGATTAGCGTGCAGCGGTGCTGTGTGGCTCATCGCTGCGGTGGTGGAGCGCATTTGTCCCCGGTGGTAATCCGCGCACTCTAAATGCCCAAAACCATGGTATACTGTTTCATACAAGGCTGGATTATCTCCACTTTTGAAAGTAAAAAAATGTGGGTAATGCCCAGCAGCCTGGTCTTTTGTCTCGAGTACGGTCTTTTGTTACAAGGACCTGGTCCCTTTGTCCAAGTTCAGAGACCCCAGCCACGCATATAAAGCATACGTGTCCGGATCCGGAGTCCCCGGCAGAAAGTGGTTAAAAAACAAAATAAAAGTAATCAAATGGCATGTCTGCTAAGGAACAAACTGAAAACATTTTTTTCTGATTTTTATGATTTTGTAAGTTCAGAACATATTTTCTCATTTCCATGAGTGACAAATTACCTGCCACACAAATAGTAATAGTTTGAAATCAATTCTGGTTATACTTTTATGGCAAGTAACAGAGGTCAGATGTAACAGGGACACAAAAATGTCACACTTTTGGACGCCTAATTTCTGGAATTACCCATCTCTGTAATGAGTTTCAGAAATCTAAATGCCAAGTGGAAAGTTTTCTTCCGCAAATTCTAGAAAACAAACTTATTGTATGTTCAAACAAAGAAAAAAAATCATCAGAATCAATGAAGATATTTTTTAAAGTGGGTATTCTGGCAATTTTCACTTTGATCTTTTGTTAACAATTTTGTCTGTCTTAAAATATGACAAGATTTCAAATCAGAAAATTTAAAATTTTAAGAATAGTTCCCTATTTGAATGTAAGTGAATTAATGGAAACACAAAGGTCAAGGCTGTGTGGAATCTTCTTTAACTATTAACATGGCATGCTTCAAACAGTTACTGACTTTTAGTCTCCTAAACTCAACTCAATTCAATTCTTTCTATCTCAATTCCCCTCCCCAGCAAACCTTTTTTCAGGGCATTCGGGCTACCAATCTCCACACTTCCCTGGATGCTAAATTCCAACTTGAGGAGGCAATGATCACACTCTGCCCCTACCCGGCCGGTACAGGGTTCGAGTCTCCTACCAGCAATCAGAGGACATCCCTAGATAATCTGACCAGCCATCCTTGGCTTGAATGTTGCATCATGTCATACCCGGTTACCCTTGGAGGAACCGAAGTCACCAAGTACCAGGTATTTGACACTGCGCTTGCCTTGGATGTAGAGTAGGGTTTGGATTTGTACAGAATGATTCAACTCCCTCATGTAACTTTCAGTCACAACCGTTGGCCAGTCTACTTAGTTACAGCTTAACTTCCTGCATCACATCTTGCCAAGTTAACTCTAAACAGAGGTCGTCTGGTACCAGGAGCCACTTTCACCCAGTTGGGAGGAGCTCACCGGAAGAGTTGTTGTAATTGCTGCAGAAAATTTGCTGATTCGAAATGTATTTGGAGGTCTGGCTGTTTGTGATTATGACCTTTACAACATTGGTCAATTTTGAGATGAGAAACAAAAACGTCATGTCAGATGTCACACATTTATGAAAAAAAAATATATAAAATCATAAGTGTGATTGCATGATTTCTTGTATTGAGGTTTTTTTTGGATTTTCAATTAGTTAAACATGTTTGCTGTTCTTTTACATATCATTAGGTTTTGCTTGGAATTTATCATTTGTCACTGTAGTCATTATGTCAATTAAAGGTCATTATGATGATCAGCTCGTTGAGACAAACTCACGCTTTCCATGAGAATCAAACCTGTCTTTGTGCATGGAACAAGCAATTCCAACTTTATACCTGTGGTTTTTCTGATTCAAAAAAGATTAAATATTTCGAGTCTTACTACCGCTAGGATCCAGAGAATTTCAATATTTTGTCTCATACTTGACTTGGAATGGTTTATGGTAATATGTTATTGTTCTGTGCTAACATACAGTAGAGTGGACTTGTGGTTAAAAACTGTGAGCCACTGCATTTAACTGGAGGGCGTAAATCTGGCACAGTAATGGCAAAAATGATCCGCCATTCCAAACCAGGCTTATGTAGGTCATGTCCATGTTAGACAGTTCTCCCAAGTGTTCATATTCAAACTTTTGTATAACAAGTTTGAATTTGGAAAGCTTAAGTAGTTACAAGCAATGGGTCGTGGAATCTCATTTTCATTGGTATCATTTTCCCGATCATAGCTTATAATTCATCTGCCTGGTTTTTCTTCAACCTATACATGTAAATAAAACAAATGTGGAAAAATCAGGGATCTTACTGAACTCAAAGCCAGGATATCCAAATCTGACAGCTTCTGAGTAAATGAGATGTCATCGTACCTGAAGATTCAAGAGACTTTGTCAGATGAAAATGTCACAGGGGACAGGGCCTCGAGAGATGTACGTTGTCATGGCTTCTTTCAACTTTACATCACTGGCTAGACTGATCAATGTACTGACCTAGGGTACGTTTCCTGCAAGAATGCAGTGCTTTGCAAATAGTGAACAGGTAAACAAGAAAATTAAAACGGCATCATTTAGTATCAGGTCAGCTACATCATGGCGGTTTTATTTCTAAATGTACCATGTGTACAGCAGAATATTACAGATTTGTACAAAGTCGGTAACATTTTTAACATTCTGGGAAAGTCTTCTCTCTTTAAATGCAACAGAAGCCATGTCAAGTTTGTAACTTTGTAACCAAATATGCATGAATCCTGAGGGAAAAAAACAGTCTGTTGATACATTTGTTTGAATAAAAATGCACCAATAGAAATGAGTGCAAGCTGTGGATACCAAGTTTATTTTCTTTTGTGTTCTTGGTTTTGTCCAGGGTATGTCTACTGCTTGTTATCATTCCACTGATTGCATTTGAGTACATTCTTGAGACTTGGGGTGTCACCAAAGCTAAATCACTGAGTGGCCAAGTATGTAAATGGCTTTAGCTGGCACAATGGAAAATGGTCCAATTAAATTCGTACAGCAAACTCGAAACTTGCTTTGATGTAAGTGTACAAGGTCACCTCATGACAACATTATAAAAATTTACACTTGGGTCTCCCTCTTGAACATGAAAAAAGGAAGTCGGGGGGAAAAAAGACTTTCTGAGCTGCAGGAGACTTACCACAATTATTTTCAATTGTCTAATGTAAAAAGGAAGTAAAAAGAGGAAATGCTCTAATCCAGGAAAGGCTGCTAGCCCGCATACCACTAGGATCTGAGTTAAGAACAAGTGCACTGTGATTCAAGCTACCCTCCCTTCCAGTGACTTGTCAGCATCCATGAGGCAGCAACCAGCATCTTGCTGACAAGCGAGCTCAGATGCTGAGGTGGCAAAACGGGAAGGGGGTGTCTGGAGAATTGTTTGAACTGACTCAAAACACTCACTGAAAACACTCAAAAACATCAAACTCTTGAAATACTCATCTTGGAATTGGCACTTAATAAAAACTGAGTTTGAGCTAGTTGACAATTTATCCAAAGTGCCTATAATTCACCTAGATATCTTTCCACATAGAAAGCTCTGCTATAGTAATTTATTCATAACACAAGGCTTTAGCGAACACCATTAAAAATATTCCATTAAAAAATGATACATTTGTACCAAATGTATATGTATTTATCTCATGGCATATAAACTCAACTGTTTAGTCAGTAGTGCTAACCACAGCTTGTCTCAGTGCTTTATACAGTAAAGATAAAAACATCTTAATACAAAACAAACAGTGGTTTTTAAACGTGACTTCTTTCAAAAAAAAGAGATCATAATAAATATAAAGTCAATGCACCGATTATCTCAATTTAAATTCACCCATTTCAATACATAAAATGAAATGAAAGGAAATTTGAAAAGGTGAAGTGATAATTATGTTTAATGCAACACCTGGAAAAAAATCCCTGTGTTCTGATTGGTGGGTTGCAGATCCACATGTCATGAATTATTTTGTACAATCAACGGTGAGATTGTTGTTATACCCACTGTCTATACCATTGTCCTGCAAACAGGTTGAACTATACCTAGTCGTAGAAAGAACATAACACAACATGCGTGATCATGGCAGGAACACTGATGGCTCTCCACACAACCATGTCAAATTTTGGGTTATACCGATACATGCATAACATGGGGAACATTTTGTCTTCTGTAAGATGAGGACATTTCTGAACTCATCATGAATATGTTTCTAAAGAGAAAGAAACTACACATAGGTAAATAGATTATCAAATGATTAAAGGTGAAACGTGTTGTATTTTTACTGCTGGCTGGCAAAGTAAAATGGTGACTTATACACAAAGTTTACAAATAATTTCTTCAGGTGCTGTATAAAATGAACTAGAATGTTTAACATTCTGTAATGGAAAGAATAACCTCATGAGGTAACAGACTGAATGTTCCATTCAGGTTTGCCATATGGAATGGAACCTTCAATTCAGCTTTGCCTCATGAATAGAACCTTCCATTCAAGTTTGCCTTATGGAATAGAATCTTCCATTCAGTTGTGCCTCCTTAAATAGAACCCTTCAACACATCATCTCATGAATTATTCTCACCAATGCATTAATCAACATGTGTTATTTGTATAATGAAGTCATCACAACAACAAATTCAGGAACATATGGCAAGGGGTGACAAAGGCAGGATAAACATTTCTTACAAGCTGGTCAGGTATCCAATGTCATTCATGAACTAGCTGGTGCTGCGCTCCTCAACATATTGAAAGTATAAAATCTATCCTCCCTTCAACCCACTGCTTTTGTACTACATGTGCTTGCTAAAACATTACCCACACCTCGGATACGAATGAAATAGCTTCTAATTTTGTTTGCTGGATAAGACTGAGAGTCTGATCTGCTTATAAATGTAGATAGATTTTCTGGGGTAAAAACAGCGTGTAGGTTTCTTTAACTGCTAAATTTTATAAAACACTGATCTTTCCAAGCTTCAGTTTAAGTACACAGCCACAAAGACTGATCCTACAGCATTTACACCGATTACAAAACTTTACATACAAAACAATTTACATAACAATGATAACATACAGACAAACATGTATTCCAGGTAGGATGAGGCCTACACAAATTCCACATATACCTTATCTGGGGGAACAACTTGAAGTTGTTTTGGGCAATATATAATGGTCAGTCCATGCTCCAACTTAGAATAGTCAGTTGATACAACCCTGCAAGTCATGATTCATTCCATAGTAGCAGCAGTAGCGGCTCTGGACATGATTCAACAGCTGAAGGTGGTAATCATCACTTGCATGGCTGAACAAAACGTTTTCAATGAGATGTACAAACTGAAGAATTCAAAATCACAAATGGCAAGCACTAAGAAAATTTTATACTTTAAACTTAACATTTTGTACACAAAATAATTCTCTTGGTCTCAGTTAACTGTCACCTGTGGCATTATTTTTATGAGGCAGAACCTTGTAAGATTGGGTGCTAAAACAGTTGTCCATCACACCAATGTAATTTCCTTCTACCATAAACCCATCATGTAGTAAGAAACACTAATATTAGGTGCAAAAGTGATTTTCAGCAACTACATTCACTTTTTAAGCATTTTGTTGGACAGCAAAAACATTTGCTGTGAACACCGTGGCGACATGTAAAACTGATCCAAGCGGTGAGGCCATAATGGAGCAGGTTGGATCATGGACTATAGTTAACCAGAGTTCGATTAAATCTGATTGAACACACGCTAGTTGATGATGGTTGGACCAGTCTGGTCAACTATTTGCGACCAGCCTACCGAGGTTGGTCGCATCGTTGCTTGCCATAAACCATTTTTGATAGCTCAGTGCAGAGAGAACCGGTTATAAAAAAATGCTGGAAAAACAGTATGTCACTAGTAACTGATGACCATTTCCACTTTTAATTTAGCTATTTTGCCCTTCCTACAGCCACCTTTTCTCCCCTTCAGCCTAATGACCTGACGACGATTGACGAGGGTTGTTTGCACTTCAACTTCACTGCACATGCGCTAGGTGCGTCATGAATCTACAACTAGTTAACTTGTGGTCTTGGGATCGAACTCGCCCATGAATGAAAAATTATTTTAAGTTGGTCATCGCTTATGTTGAGTGGACAAATAGAACTGATCTCTGTAATCACATATCTCAACACAGTTGCCAGTCTACTGAAATGCTATTTATAACTAAAACAAAAACACAGGGAAACAAGACACTTAAAATGTCTCAGGTAACTTCTTGGTGTTGCACAGTCAGTGACGTTAAAGGTCATGTTAACATTTGAGAAAGCCCTTCATTATATCTATACGACAAGACATAGTCTCACTGTGTAGGTTAAATATGATTTGTTGCAACTCTGTACATTACTTTGTGACCATCTTTTAAAAATTCTAAAAGCTTGAAGGTAAATATACATTTGTAAATAAAAACGTGTTTTAAGACCCTTGTTTATCAACATTTTTACATAAACTTTATCCCTACATGAGGTTGGCCTCAGAACAAATTCCTTTTCAAAAGACTGTACTCAATTTAAAATAGTTCATAAATAGCTTTTCCATTTAAATCATTCTCAAAAAAGTCTGCATAGTTCTGTAAATGAAAACATCATAATTTTCATGGATACACAAATACATAGATACAAAAAATGTATGTACACAAAATAGTTCCATCAATATACACACACTAGGCTTGTATTGTTAATGAAGTCACTCAAAAACATACAGTGTACATGTATTTACAAAATGAGATCACTGGAACATAGCCAGTATCCAATAAAAAGAGATCGGATGTTGTTGTGAACGAAATGCTGATCAAGCAATGGACAGAACTTCACTAAATAGAGGTTCTACCTGTTTATATTTAGTGATTTTAAATCACAAGCATTCACAAATTTCTGACAATCTAATTCTAATATTGGTAATTGAAGATAAAGAGATTTACAGTTTTAACCAGTTGGCTGTTGGGTGTGTCAAGGCGTGGCTCCTTTGGGTACCTCCATCTGGGTGTGGTCTGTTGGCAGGTCTGATAAGGCGCAGTCTCTTTTGTGAGCAACCAATCTAGATGTGGTCTTTTCTCAATGAACCAATCAGGCACGGTCCTGTTGGGTGTGTCTATTCAGGGTGTGGTCCCTTTCACAGGGTCTCACTTGGCATGGCACTTTTCCAGCAGGTCAGTCCAAATCAGTGTTTTACAAATGCCTAAGTAGCATGGACTTTAGGGTGGATTGATGTAAGGCAGAATCCTTCAGGATAGGTTGAATCGGGTGCGACCCCTTTAAGGCACGCCTACAAGGGTGTGGTCCCCTCGACTGGGGTGATCAAGGTGATGTCTAGAGTCTGATGAGCCAGGCTTTTAAATTGTTGCTTGCTTTATCACTTTCTCGACGCCTTCAGAGAGAACAGTCATCCACCTGTAAATGAGTAAGAAATTAGCACACCCTGCATACTGACGGTACAGGGTTCAACACCCAACCAAGCCCACATGGACTTCCCACACTTCATGCCAGGATTTGACAGTTTCAAATGATTAAACTCATCTTTCATTTTCATGCCCATCTGGGTATTAACCACTTCCCATCGGGGTTTCCAGAACCAGACATGTATTCTTTATTCAAGAGGCCGGGGTGTCCGAAATCAGACAAACGGAACTGGGCCTTGTAACAAAAGACTGTACTCATAACAAAAGATCAGGCTGCTGGGCATTACCAACATTTTTGCACTCTCAATTGTGGAGATAATCCAGCCTTGTTTTGAAACAGTATACCACAGTTTTGGAGATTTAGCACAAGCAGATTACCACGGAACAAAAGCACTCCACCACTGCAGCGATGAGCCACACAGTACCACTTCACACTAATCAGGCGCCTTTTTAAAAGAGGTCAGCAGTGCACTGTGCCAATTATGTGAACAAAAGAAAATTATGTAACACCGCAAAATCTGGGCTCTTTTACAAGGCGGCAGGCCTGGTTGAAATACCCCAGCGTCAATAGATGTTGTCTGTCAGATTAAAGTAGAAACCAGACAGTCCTTTTTGTGGGTGTAAGTGTCCAGTATATGAAGATAGGAATTTTTAAAGAATTTTAAAAACAGAACCAATGATAATTATCCCGCCCCCAGCATCATCAACATTGATAACTGCCA